AAAGGAGGATAGGCCACCATGTATGTCAGCTTGACCATATTCAAAATGTATTAATAAATTACTTTAATAAATTAATGTAATATCAAAATCCAACTGATAAATTCAAAGTCATAACTGTGTTAGTCTAGAAAATTAGTATGCAAAGGGATCTTGCAGCACTTTTGAGACTAACTGAAAGATAGAAGTTGGTAGCATGAGCCTTCATAGACTTGAGCCTACTTGCTCATCCAAATGCATCTAAGGAAGTAGGCTCAAATCTACCAACTTTCATCTTTCATTTATAGTCTCAAAGGTGCTGCAAGATTCCCTGTAACTGATAAATGTAACTGATAGAAAGATAATCAACTGATTTGAGACATGGTGCTGGAGAAGAGTGCTGAGGTTACCTTCGATGGCCAAAAAGACAAATAAATGGGTCCTTGAACAGATCAAGCCTGAAATCTCCCTGGTTATCAAATTGAGTCTGATGTAACCATGATATTTTGTAGAATCAGTCTGTAAAGAGATCTTGTAGCATCTTTGAATCTTACTGCAAGAAAGAACTTGGCAGGATGAGCCTTCATCGACTTAAGTCCAAATGCATCTGAGGAAGTCAACTTAAGTCTAGGAAAGCTCATGCTGCCAACTTCTTTCTTTCAGTTAGTCTCAAAGGTGCTACAAAATCTTTATATACTTAAATGAGACTGTCATACCTCTGACACTTCATGAGAAGGTAGGACTCAGTAGAAAAGACAATAATGGAGTAGAATGAGAGGAAGATTGCATGCCATGGGAAGAGAAGGATATGAGCCTGTAAGACCTGAGCAGAACAGATGAGGATACATCTGATCCATGGAGTCACCATGGGTTATCATAGAATCATAGAGTTGGAAGAGACCACAAGGGCCAACCAGTCCAACCCCCCTGCCATGCAGGAACTCAAAATCAAAGCATCCCTGACAGATGGCCATCCAGCCTATGTTTAAAGACCTCCAAAGGTCTTTTGAGTTAAAGTCAACTCAAAAGCAGGTTAACAACAAATGATAACAATTCTAAAAGCAATAGCAGCAAATTCATACTCTTCCACTATCTATGTTCCCTTTCATCTTCTTCCACTACAATCTCTCTGTTGCCTCTACTTTTTATTTGTAATCACATTTTAGATTGGGAAGCCACCTGATTTATAGGTCTTTTTCCCCTTGTAAAGCATGTGCATTGATGGTCCTATACAGATAGATGAAAGTTATTCCCTATAATCCCACCATATAACATATAATATAGTTTAGATTGGCATATGGATTGGCCACCATGCATCTCAATAAGCTACCTGTTTTAAGAATTAGGCCTGCGAGCTTCTTCACATATTATCATAGAATCATAGAGTTGGAAGAGACCACAAGGGCCATCTAGTCCAACCCCCTGCCATGAAGGAACTCAAAATCAAAGTATCCCCGACAGATGGCCATCCAGCCTCTGTTTAAAGACCACCAAAAAAGGAGACTCCACCACTCTCCGAGGGAGTGTGTCCCACTATTGAACAGCTCTTACTGTTAGGATGTTCCTCCTAATGTTTAGGTGAGATCTCTTTTCCTGTAGCTTGAATTTATTGCTCCAGGTCCTAATCTCTGGAGCAGCAGAAAACAAGATTGCTCCATCCTCAGTATGAAATTCCCTGGACACAGTATTCCAGGTGAGGCCTGACCAAAGCAGAATACAGAGG